ATGCGCGAAAACGCTTCTACTGAAAAAGCGAGAGCTCCAACTGCAACAGCAACAATAAAAGCAACCAAACCTAGGCATAGTCTACCAAAACATCATGTTACAAGCAGCAGCTGACAAGAAGTTTAAAGTCCTCTTAAAGTTAATTTATATTGAATGTACCCATTACGACGATACTTGTTCTTAAGTTATCTAGACTACCACGCGGTTTTTGTTAGAATGTTCTTATTTTGTCGAAAATTGTGGATCAGGCAAAACAACGACGCACGCAACGGGGAAGACGAATGGGCAATTGTTAAATTTAAGTGAAAATTTTGTATCCTGAACTATAGACAAATTGAGACCGTAAGAATATTATTGCAGTGTGTACATTACATTAGAGAAAAGATTTAAAAAAGAAACGACCAAACAACTGCAAACACTTTAATTGGTTAGACCCAGTGATGGTGCTGGCGCTGCCGGCTGCCCGAGGCTGAACGCGGTGGCGTCGGCCGCACCGTGGCCAACATGGACTCGATCTGGCGCACCTGATTGCTGACAAATCGATCGCTGGGCGGCTCATTGCGTTCACTCTCCAAGTTATCGTTGGACTTGTGCATCCCACTCAATATGCACTGTTCAAACAATGACTTGGACTGGCCGTCGTCCAGCGAATCGTCTGAGCTGTAATCAGTCTTGGCGCCAGCGATTGTCTGTCGTCTGTGGTTGCTGGGCTTGGGCAGCGTGTTCGTCAGACTGGAGCTGGTGCTGGCACTGGCGCCGCTCGGTTGGGGTCTGCAACTGCCGGCGGCAATGGCCTGAAAGGTAACGAGATTATGTGACAGCATCCACAGAAGCTTTCTTTAAGTGTGCGCTTACCTGACTCAGTAGATTGCAGTCATCGTCCGAATCCATTGATAATGAGCTGAGCGAATCGCTGCGTTTGGGCAGCACATGTGCTGCACTTCGTCGTGGTGGCAATTTGGGCGCCAATTCGGCATTCCTAGGTAAAAGCTGCGGCGGCTTCAGTGCACGCGCCGGACCCACTTGCGCCGAGCCTACGGTCAAGCTGGAGAGTCCAGAGATTACGGAGAAATTGCAAGGGCTGTCCTCGACGTAGTACTTATTCATCTCATCCGTTACGGGCAGATAACTGGGCAGAGCGCTGCCGCCGCAGCGCATCTTGGATATGGCATCCTCATTAACCTGGGCTTGTGGCATCTGCTCTGCATTGGCATTCTGGTCATTTGCAGTGGAGGCTATGGAAAGCACCGAGAGATTGCTATTGCTGCCCGCCTTGGACAGCAGCGCAGGCGTATCCTCGGTGCAGTAGCTGCGCGGCGCATCGTTGCCATTAAGGTCATTTCCATTGGAATTACTGTTCCCGCTGGCACTTAGCTGCAATGTCTCCAGCTTGCGTTCGCGACGCGGCGACTGCGGCATGCTCTGCGTGGGTGAATCCGGCAGCTCCGAGGGTGAGATGACGCCGCTTTGCATGCGACTGTATTCACTTATAACCGAAGCATTGTCATCACAGCCAATGGTCTCATCATTGACCAGGGAATCCATGGAGCTGCGTCTGGAGAACATCAGCGGCGTCTCCAGTGCGGAGTCAATGGCCTGGCTGTTGCTGTTGTTGTTGTTGTTGTTGTTAGTTGGAGTTACCGCAACAGGCTGTTGTGGTGCATTGGCTGACTTGGGCACAACAACAAGCTGCTTGGGGGCGCCCTCCGTGAGGCTGTTGAGCGAGTCGAAGCGACTGAAGCAGCCGGGCGTGCCTTCCTCGCAATAGTTGATTGGCCGCTCGCCGGGCTCCGGCTCTGGCGTGTGCAAACAGGCGTCGGGTTTAACGGCTGTCAGATTCTCCAGTGCATTGCTGCGCAAGTTGAGCGTCTTGGGACGCTCAGCCTGATCGCTGCTCAAATCGCAGGCTGACGCAGACTTGGCGAGCGGCGCAGCAGCGGGGCTGCCAGTTTCGTCCAGTATAAGCAGTATCTCGTTGCTGTCCTCGCGCACCGCTGGCTGCGGCTGTGCCGCTTGCGCGGATCGTCTTTCCTTGTAGCGCGCACTGAAATCCGTAGGCTGATCCAGGTCGATGGAGTTGTCGAAACTGGCCTTGGCCGGCTTGTGCTCGCTGTAGCTGTACTTCATCGAGTAGTCAATCGGTTGCTCCTCCGTGGGCGTGCCGTAATGGCTCTTGACTGTGGCCGCGCTCATTTTGCGCTGCTCAAAGGCGCTGTCGGATTTGGTGGAGTATTTTGTGGAATCGGAGTCGGATTTGCCGGAATAGATGGACTCGCGGCTTTCGCATTTGCGTGGCAACGTGTTGCTCCCGTTGCTGCTGCTGCTGGCCGTGCCGGGACGCATTTTCTTCAGTGAGCCCGTGGGATTGCTGCTCAGCCGCATGGAGCTGTAACGTCGCGGCAGCGTGCCCGCATGGCCGTCCAGCTCCTTTGGCGGCAGCTCGTTATTGGTGGCCAGCTCAAGGGCGTTGCGATAATTGACCAAGTTCTTGAGCGCAGATGCGCTGCCCTCAGCTACCATGGGATTCTTCGAGCTGGCAAGAGCGCGGAGCAGTGGAATGGCATTGTGATCGATAAGAAACTGCTGATCCTGGGGGCAGCGTGCGGACAGATTCCAGAGCGTGCCGCATGAATTGCTCACAACCGTCTGGTTATCCGACTTCAGCTGTTGCAGCAGAATGGCCAAACAGTTGTGCTCTCGCAGGATCTGACGATACGATTCACAGACAGCTATGTGGCTGGACACGTTGCGCAATATGCCGCCGGCATTCTCGACAATCTTCAGCGTTTTGCTGGGTCCCTCGTAGCTAAGCATTTGCACAAGAAACCCCAGTGCGCCATCGACGGCACAGAACTCCGCCTTGTTGGTGCTGCAGTGCGCCGACAGGTTCCACAGAGCTGACAGAATTGCCTTCAAGGTGTTCTCGCTTTTGTTGTGCATGGCGGCCAAGGCGAGAGCCGTCACTGTGCCCAGCTCATTGAATATGGTCTTCAGGTGTTTGTCCGCGCGCCACGAGAGATTGCGCAAAACGCTGGCCGTGGCCTGCAGCAGATCATCAATATCTGCAGCGGCGTTTGAGTCGAGCTGCGCTACCAGCGCCTCCATGAACTGCTTTTGGCCGCAGAGCAGCGACTTGTTGTTCTCCTCGCCGCAGGTGAGATTCGTTAGCGTCATGAGCGCATAGCGTCGCAGTAGATTGCATTGATCTCTGCCCGCTGCCGGGCCGTGCACGGCATGATCCAGATGCACCAGATTTGGTATGGCTTTTAGGGCGCCCAGCTCGCACATGGTCTGGCGATGCTCCTCATCGAAGCTGGCCTTCATCAGCAGCTTCATGGCGGCCAATGGATGACGCTCCTCATCGTCGGCAATCGATTCGCCGCCGCTTTGCAGTTGTGTGCGCAAAAAATTACAGCTATAATCATGGATTTGATCCAGCAGTCGCAGCACCTTCACTTCCCGCTGATTCCCCTGGACAATGTTGTGCAGGGCTTGGCTGGCGTTCTTGCGCGCGGCTCCGCCCGCGACGGCTCCATCGTCATTGGCATGCAGAATTTTCACCAATAGCTGAATGCAGTCGGAGCTGCGCAGTGCGGCGCAGGTATCCGCATTCCTCGATAACTCCAGAAAGTTGCGCGTTAGCTCCAGTTGCTTGTGAGCGTCGCTCTCGTTCAGCGTCATGTTTGCAAATGATTTCCACTTTATTGATTTTGCCGGGCTTAACGCTAAAACTCTCTCGCACTCGCTGTAGCTTTGTACCTAAGCGTATTCCAGGAAATAATATTTGCCTGTCCTTTGAGGCACTGTTAACGCGCAGGTAGCCGACATGTGCTATGTTGTGAGGTGCTTCATAATAGCTAGGTAAAAATAACCTACAGCGCAGAAGCAGCTGCCTTTGTTTGGATGCTGCTGTTACACTCGTATCGGGTTTGAAAAGCAACAAGTTATCGATAGTTGCATTTCATGGCATAAGAAAATACAAGGTATCGCGCACAGCGTTTTCAGCTGCGATGCACTAAAGTTCTAGGGATGCAGTAAACTGTCTAGTTGTGCTAAGTTTCTATAACTTAAATAACTGACTTAGAAAAACAATGTGTCTTCTTATCCTAAATCTATATATTGCAAAGGTCGTCAAACAAACGAAATATATGAAACAGTATTATTTTAAGCTTCATCTTAGCGTGTCTATATTTTTATATATAATTTGTATTTTATTTGATTTTCATAAATAGCATACTATATTTAATGTAACAATAGGTAATTTGTAAGATTTTAAAATTTAAAAGTCCACCGTTGTGACGTCACAATTAATACGGTCATTTAACGTATACGTATCGTAATATTCTAAGAAACATTGTGTCTTTCTACCATCACTAGTTGATGTTACGTTACGTCACGCAAATCAGCTGGTCACACAGCTGCTACGCCGCATTGAGCTAGTCGTAGAAAAGAATGAATTTCTTGAAAAAGGTAAATAAAACAATTAATAAATAGCAGTTAAACGTTATTCGTGTTGCCTTTTTTAGGTGCCTACGCAAATATTGCCACTGGCTGAGGCACAGCTCAGCCTGAGCAACAAATCGGCATTGCACACCAGCGCAGTTTGCTGTCGCGTGCAGTCTGGACGTTACCGCATAACCGTAAAACGGGATCGGCCGCTCACCTACGAGATGGCCAATCCGCCGCATTTTATTGGACATCGCAAGTCCTGGAACTCTTGGAACACATGTATGTGCGCTACATTTGCTTTTATTGAATTTTATAGAATTTCATAAACATTTTTCAGCCACTCTTAAGGATGCCTTGCGTCCGTCTCAGACAGCCATCGAGGATGTCTTCATTCGCAAGTTTGTAACTGGCACCTGGCATGCGCTCGTCTGTTCCGAAATTATTATAAAGCGACAACACAATACAATACGCATTGCTGCCATCATACGACAGGCGATTAGCCCCCGCAAAATGTACTTCCTTATTGGCTACACGGAAGAGCTGCTCTCCTATTGGATGCAATGCCCCGTCACTCTCGAGTTTCAGACGGTGGCCGACAAGAAGGACGTGGTCTTTAAATATATTTAGTACCTATGCGTTTATACTTGGCTCTACAATATATTTAAACTTATAGTACATACATTTTTTAGTGGCTACTCAATGCGCGTATTCCACCTCGCTGTTATTGCTGTGCCAAGATTTAATGGCTTTGTTTACAATGACCCCATCCTTATCTTTGACCTGAAAAATAGGCAACGATCAGGTACCTTTAAAATGTGATATGTATGCTTCATACCGTCTCGATCAATGCTTTCAGCTCCTCCTGAGAGCTTAGATCGAATATCAAAGACTTGATGTCTTTCACCAGCTCCAGAAAGAGGAATACGACGATCTTCTTGGCGCCACCGCATACCTTGTCCCAAATTTTGACTAACATAGTCTCGCAAATGACCCCGGCGAAGCAGGTTATATACCAGTTCTCCAAGAGCTTCGAGTTAATATCAAATAGACCAAGCTTTTCTAAGCGACTGCAATCAAAAAACTGATTTCAATAAAAAACAGTTGTATACAATATATATAGTACCTACTAAAATAATCCAATGTCTTCGCGCTTGAGTAGTATCTGGGTCAATTCCTTTAGTTTGCCACATTCCTTCTTCAGGTCACGCGTATACTGGTAGAACTCCTTGGCTATCCAGTACGTTTCCACTTCATCGTCAAATATGTCAAGTAGTGTGCGCACAATTTCAACGAAATGATTGTCATCTGCCTGAGCTCCGGCTCGAATATTACTATGCAACAGCCGATTGTTTTCCAGTAACCACATTTTATACAGCACCAAATCTCTGGACCTTGAGTCCAGGTCTACGCAACGCATTACAGTCACGGCACGCAGCAAATCCTCGTAGACCTGGCGACGTTGCTCCCGAACATATTCAGTATTGCTTTTGTGCAGTGGCATTATACCCATTATCAGACTCCAGAGCAGACTGCGCTGCTGTGCTGGGACCGTATAGGTATATACGAAGTGCTTCAGCTTGGCCAGATTGCGTATGTCATCCTGTAGCAGTTTATCGAGTGATTTCTTTTCTTCAACGCTAAAACAGCCAACTTTTTCATAGTAACTAGATCTAAAATTACGCTCATCTGTGGTCATCTTTCATATGTATTTCATCTATTTCTCCGTGCTTTGTTTATTTCAAGTCGCTCGACTGGGGCAGCAGCAGCAAACAGCAGAAATAACCCTAAAAATGTCAAAATTTAATGAATTTTGAATTGGTCAAATTTAGACTAAACTCTGGTCACTTTTTTCTAAGTAAAACTCATTGGCGCCAATTCCAGAAATATTTGAATATTAAGAGACCTTTGCGTTTAATATAATGATATCAATTAATTATTTAAAGTACTTTTTGGTTGTATTACATTAAAATTAATTTAGCTTATAATTTGGCAAGCTCACCATAATTTACCGAACAGTTGAAATCAGCTGTTCATATACTACAGCTGATTGTTCTGACTCTTACTACTGCAGCTGTTACTTAAAATACTAATGTAGTTTCTTACAAGACACATGTTAAGTTAGCTCTTTTTGCGTTCACAGTTCATTTACTCCTTTTAGCGTTACGTGTCGCTTTTCCGTTACGTAGCTGACTTTGCCATTACGTAGGTACGTAAGTACCGTTGTGCATTGCATTTCGCTACAAAATGCCCAAATATTGTGTGAAAAGGTAAACAAAGCTGTTACAGTGATAAAATGTTCCAATTAAATGCATATTAAAGTGATGAACGCTGGCCAAGTAACATATTATTTAACTAATCAAAGCAAAGGCGGCAATTGTTAATAAATCGAAAAGCCTATCTACATGTATTACACACTGTTGCTGTCTTCGCAGAGGCTGAAAATTAAAATCAATAATTCAATCAGAAAATCAAAACACAAATGTGTTTATGATAATTTATGCAATTATGCCACATTTGTACTGTTTCTTGATTCTCTTTGCAGTTGCAGTTGATAAATTCAAATGTTATGCTCTGCATTTGCATTTGTTGTTGTTGTTGTTGTTGTTGTTTTTGCCGTACACGTTGCAAGGGCTTGGACAGGGCAAAATGGAACAGGAGATTGGCACCTGGGACTCAGTTCTGCTGGAAAACCTGTCCGAGGATAGCTTCATAAGCAACATACATCAGCGTTACAAGCGCGACCATATATATGTAAGTAATCCTGAGAATCGACTTGGATCACATTTGATGTCTCGCCTTTAGACCTACATTGGAACTTCTGTTGTGGCTTTGAATCCATATCATCACATATCTGAGCATTCGTTGGAGAATATACGCAACTATGGCAATAAAGGCATTTTTCAGCTGCCACCACACATGTAAGTCCGCTCCCTGTTTTGAGGATAATCCCTGTAATATAATCGTTTAATCCTGGACAGCTATGGGCTTACCAATTTGGCTTATCAATCTCTCAAGGATCAGAGCGAGGATCAGTGCGTGCTGCTCACTGGCGAGGGAGGCGCTGGCAAAACGGAGACCTTTAAAATGATTGTCAATTTTCTTACACACATACAGGATCGTGCGCCTTGCACTGGCACCCCAAATGAACTACGCAAGCAGTCCTCCGGCAGCTCGACGAGCGGCATGGGCATACATGCCCACCGACGCGCCTCGAGCAGCTGCTCTGGCACCGCTAATTTTATCATATGCAAAAACAACGCAGCTTCCGCAAACAGTCAAGGCAGCACATCCAATTCACGTCGCCAGTCGCCGTCACCGGGTCCGGGTCCGGGGCCAGGTGCGATACAGCGGTCGCGAATGCGTGCCGAGAGCATCGAACGCCAAGCCAGGCGCAACATGCGTGAAAAAATTGTTGACTTTGACTTTTCGCATCACAAAAGCACTGAGAATATCAGCACGCTGCTGGAATCGGCCGCTTCCCATGGACATTTGCATCCAACGAAATCATGCTTCAAGCATCAACAGATACAAGTCAACACCTGCACTGCCACCTATGGACCGCTGGCCGGGACGCCCTCGCGAACGGGCTCGTCCAGCACGTCGCCCAAGTACTTGCACGGCGGCTGCCGTCAGTGCGGCCACAGCAAATGCACACGCGCCCAAAGCCTGGAGAAGGAGGAGCGCGACGCCGCTCTGATATTGCTGCGGGGCAGCAATAGCCGCCTGTCTACTGCCAACCAACTGCAGCAACCGCAACGCGGTAGCTGTTCGAATCTGGTGCGACAGCACTCAAACGAAAGCCAAGCGGAGCGACAGCTGTCCACTGGCTCCACGCAACGTATATCGCTGTACGATGCACACAAGCTGAGCAAGGTGCTTGGCAGCGCTAATGTTTCGCCCACGCCCTCGGCTAGCTCCTCGTTGCATAGACGCCACAAGTCGCCCAGCTTGCGGCTGCGCGAGTGCGTCACCTGCGCGGATGTCTTCCTGGAGGCCATGGGCAATGCCTGCACACTAAAGAACAACAACTCCAGCAGATATGTAAGTCGTTTCTCTATCCATAGCTCTTAGTAAATACTAATATATGGTTCTTGCATGCTTTCAGGGCAAACTGTTTGACATTGAAATCGACTTCAAGGGAGATCCCATGGGCGTGCACATAACCCACTGTAAGTAGCTAAAGATTAAACTCTTAAATTGGAATTAAAATACATTACTATGAAATTATTTCCATGCCTAACTCACATAAGATATGTTGGAAAAGGTTTGAATTGTTCGATATATCAGCTATTAATAATTTACTCACTCTTCTGTATGCCTCTTTTTTTATGATCTCCATTTAGACTCGCATCACGGATACCATGATTGGCGAGCGCAATTTTCACATATTTTATCAGTTGCTGTTGGGCGCGGATCTTCAGTTACTAAGTAAGTTTGTTTCCAATTACAAATCGTATTTGATTAACTAATTATTTTGTTTAAAGAATCTCTGAAGTTGTTTCGCAATGTGGAAAAGTATGAACTGCTGCGGAATACAACTGCCATGGAAGAGGATCGTGCCAACTTTCATTACACAAAGGTCAGTTGTAATTATTATATTATCAAAGTAAAGTCATCAAATTAATTACATTAACAGCGTTCACTAGACGTGCTTGGTTTGAGCTGTGATGAGACCAACTCTATTTTTCGAGTTATTGCCGTGGTCCTGAAGCTGGGCAACTTCATGTTTGTGCCCGTGACCAACATTGATGGCACCGAAGGCTGTCAGGTTTCGAATGTCTATGGTATGTCCCAAAACTAAGCTAAAAACCCAATTTGAAGTTCTTGTTCTTGTAGAAGTGCAAGAGACTGCGCAGCTGCTCAATTTAGAAGCTCAAATTTTAATCAATTGCCTGACGCGAGCGAACAGCACGAGCAGCACACAGGAGGATGTTGGCTGTGAAATGGATGCCAGGCAGGCTGCCAGCAATCGGAACACGCTCTGTCGTACACTCTACAGTCGCCTATTTACCTGGCTGGTGAATAAGATCAATGAGACAATGAAGTCCACGCAGCGCGAAAAGAATCTTGCCCTGCTCGACTTTTACGGCTTTGAGGTGCTGGATCATAATTCCTTCGAGCAGTTTGCCATTAACTACAGTGCCGAAAAGATACATCAGGTACGTTGCAAATGTGACACAATAGTTGGCAATTGTATTAACGTGCCTTCTTCCTTATCAGAATTTTGTGTTCAATGTGTTGCGCTCAGAGCAGGAGCTGTATTTGCGAGAGGGCCTGGATTGGTCGCGCATCGATTACTTTGACAACGAGTCCATATGCGAACTGATTGATAAGCCCAGCTATGGCATTTTAAGTCTAATTAACGAACCCCATCTGAACAACAACGAGTCACTGTTGCTGCGCATACAGCAATGCTGCGCCGGCCATCCCAATTTCATGACCAGCGGCAGCAATTCCATGTGCTTTCAGTAAGTCCATTCCAGCACTGCTAGACCGTAACTAAAAATGTATATTATATTCCAAAGAATTCGCCACTTTGCCAATGTTGTTAACTATTCTGTACATCGATTTTTGGAAAAGAACTCGGACATGCTGCCGAAATATATAAGCGCTGCCTTCTATCAGAGCCAACTGTCGCTGGTGCAGAGCCTATTCCCGGAGGGAAATCCGCGCCGGCAGGCCAGCAAAAAGCCAACAACGCTCAGCACCAATATACGCACGCAGCTTCAAACTTTGTTGTCCATCGTGAAGCATCGTCGCGCCCATTATGTGTTCTGCATAAAGCCCAACGAATGCAAGCAGTCGCATCAGTTCGATTTGGCCTTGGTGCAGCATCAGGTGCGCTACATGTCGCTGATGCCGCTGGTGCATCTCTGTCGCACTGGACACTGTTACCATTTGCCGCACGTCAAGTTCTTTCAACGCTACAAGCTGCTCAACAGTTTGACCTGGCCGCATTTCCATGGCGGCAGCCAGGTGGAGGGCATAGCTCTGATCATACGCAATCTGCCGCTGCCGTCGGCTGAGTTTACGCTCGGCACCAAGAATGTGTTCGTGCGCAGTCCGCGCACCGTCTACGAGCTGGAACAGTTTCGCCGGCTGCGCATCTCCGAGCTGGCTGTGCTCATACAGAAAATGTTTCGTATGTATCATGCCAGAAAGCGTTATAGGCGCATGCGCCACAGCCAAATGGTCATCTCGAGTGCGTGGCGCACGTGGCGTGTAAGTAGCTGCTGCACTGCAGCATTTGCATGGCTATCACAAAATTTGATGTACATATTTCTATATATGATTTTTTTATTTTTATATATGTAGGAGTGCCGTTTCGGCATTCCCTTCACGGGCCGTAGGCATTTGTGGAGTTTATATCGTGTCGTAAGCATTGCATGTTCTTACTCCCACTCATACCCCACCCAGATATCCAATTAATGCATAAGTACTTATCGTTTGTTTTAATCAACTTTTGGCAGGCACGCGAGGAATATCGTTCTCTGAAGTACAAGCGTCAGGTCAAATGGGCCGTCGATGTCATTGCGCGTAACTATCATCAGTGGAAGATCCGACAGTATCTGCTCACCATTCCCTTACGTCTGCCGCCGAACACGCTGAGTCCGCTTTCCTTGGAATGGCCAGCGGCGCCTGGTTTTCTGGCGGATGCATCGCGTCTGCTGCGCGCCATCTACCATCGCTGGAAGTGCTACATTTATCGCAATTCGTTCGATCAAACGGCTCGCAATCGCATGAGGGAAAAAGTGACTGCCAGCATTATATTCAAGGATCGCAAGGCATCCTATGCGCGCAGGTCAGTCCTCGCTCACTTAAATATGTCAAAGGTTTGCTTATCGAAATATATATATTTTTAATTTGCAGCGTGGCTCATCCCTTTGTGGGCGACTATGTGCGGCTGCGCCACAATCAGCAGTGGAAGAAGATTTGTGCGGAGACCAATGATCAGTATGTCGTATTTGCAGACATCATTAACAAGATAGCGCGCTCCAGCGGCAAGGTACGGTTTTAGAAGCCTAAAATTAAGGGTGCATTCTGGTGGAATGGTTCCAAGAGGAGGATAAAGCACAGAGAAACGAGTGTGCCGGGTATCTCTCTCTCTGGATATTCCTTGTCTTGTATTTTCCTTATAGCTTATATATTTATGCTATATCTATTGTACTTGCAGTTTGTGCCCATTTTGCTGGTGCTGTCCACATCATCGCTGCTTCTGCTGGACCAGCGCACGCTTCAAATCAAGTATCGAGTGCCTGCCTCGGAGATTTATCGCATGTCCCTGAGCCCCTATCTGGATGACATTGCCGTGTTTCATGTGAAAGCGGTAACTGAAAAGAAGACTTTATTTTAAACCAATCTAATGAAAATGTATTTCTATTCAGTCGGAATTTGGTCGCAAAAAGGGTGATTTTGTGTTTCAAACGGGCCATGTCATCGAAATTGTTACCAAAATGTTTCTGGTCATACAAAATGCGACGGGCAAACCGCCAGAGATACATATAAGCACCGAGTGAGTAGTAGTAGGCCTTGTTAACAAATAGCTATGAAATTAAAATTGTTTTTTTCTTGCAGATTTGAGGCAAACTTTGGACAGCAGACGGTCATCTTCTCATTCAAATACGGCGGCTTATCGGATTTGGCACAAGGGCCGCCAAAAGTCACGCGCAAGGCAAATCGCATGGAGATAATTGTCTGATTAGTGAATTTGCAGCGTCTTTGCGCCTTGGTTTTGGTTAGTGTGCGGGTCATTTATAGGATCTCAAGTTTTTATATCAATTATATTCATTTCCAAGCAATCCGCATGCACTTATTAGATCTATGTTGACTTGGTCCCGGGGACCAAAGCATAATTTTAACAATATTTACACACACACTGACTCAAATATAATATTATTTTGCTCACAACTGACAATCAGTCTCACAAGTTCGTTGTCAAAATTGTGCCAAAATGAAAGAGGGGGTGGGTTGGGGGATAAATAACTAATTTAAATCAGCACCATTTCTTTGATATACTTAAGTAATAACTAACGAAATGAACAACTGAATTTATTTAACTAATTTTTCGAGCTAGGTTTAATTGTAAGTCAAGCACCAAGTCGATTAACATTGCAACAAAGAGAACTACGTTAGGAACGTGGCACAGTGAAGCGTTAGATATTTTACACACACAAAATACGATATTTCCGTTATAGAAACCAAAGCATTTCTCTTACATTTAAGGTTTCATACACAATAATTAGTGAACTAATGCTATAGAACTCATACAAGCATATATATATATATATATATAGCTCTATATTTACTAAACACAATATGAATCTGCGCCTCAGAACCCAGTGAGAGATAGAAGAATAAAACTCTTGTGAAACTTTTTTCCAAAAAGGTTAATTAGGAAAACTATTTACAAGCCAGAAAACATGTAGTTAAATATTTAAAAAATATATATACATACATATATAAAGTGGATAATTCAATTATACATAAATGACAAAAGGCAACCGGAACCGAAACAATATGAAACCAGACGAAAACAAATTTTACGAATGTTTGTTACAACAGTTGGTCGTACTTACATAAACTATATGATGTAGTTGTTTATATACAAAACTTGTTATTGATAGCTCAGACAGAGATCAAATGTAACTAACACTTGCATATATAGTTGAATTTCATGAACATAACTGGATCAGAGTGTGTATATTACCGACTAATTAAATGGGTAGCAACACGATGCCGAATATCTGTGTGTATGTATGAAAATAGTTTTTATTTAGATTTAAATTACATCATACAATACTCTAAAAAAGCCAAGATAAATATAAACACAATCCAACCAGTTGGTAGTTTATAAAACGAAATAAAATGATAAGAACAAAGTTTAGTAATAATAAAGCGTACGCATGGAAAAGTTTTTCTTTGTACAATATTATTCTCTTAGTCGCGTTTTAACGGTTCACTGGGCTTTATAGCATATATATGGCTGATGGACATGGTTTACAATTTCGATTTTGGCTTCTTGAGCATGTCGCGCAGGACACGACGCAATATTTTGCCGCTGGGATTTTTAGGTATCTCGTCCACGAAGAGTACGCCGCCGCGCAGGCGTTTGGCCGGCGAGGCGCGTTCGTGCACATAAGTTATCACATCCTCCTCGGTGAGCTGGACATTCGCCTGCTTGACCACAAATGCCATGGGCAGCTCGCCAGCCGCCTCATCGGGTTTGCCAATAACAGCAGCATCTTTGATCTTATCGTTGGTTAGCAAGAGTGCCTCGATTTCGGCCGGTGGCACCTGGAAGCCCTTGTATTTAATGAGCTCCTTGATGCGATCCACAATGAAGAACTCGAATGAATCGTCATAGTAGCCAATATCTCCGGTGTGTAACCAGCCGTCCTTAATGGCAGTCTGTGTTGATTTGGTATCGCCAATGTAGCCCTTCATGATGCCATCGCCTTTGAAACATAGCTCGCCCCGTTCGTTCGGTCCCAGATGTTTGCCCGTATCGGGATCAATGACCTTGGCATAGATTCCAACCTTCAGCACGCCAACGCTGCCCGGCTTGCAAAAGTCATCCGTCTGCACCAGAACACTGAGCGTCGACTCGCTGAGGCCGTAGCCCTGGCGAATGAAGGGTACACCGATTCGCTCCTTTATTTGATCTTCGGTCTCACGGCTGAGTGGTGCAGCACCGCAAAGCAAGACCATCAGCGAGGACAGATCATACTTGTCCACAATCGGATGCTTGGCCAGGAAGACCATAAGTGGCGGCACCATGAAGGCCATCATAACGCGGTATTTCTGCAATATGCGAAGTATTCAAAATATGTATATAGTTTTTAGACTTAGCTACCTCAATGGCGGAGAGAAACAGATTCTCTTCGAATTTGGGCAAATAGACGAGACGCGTGCCCATCGTGGCCGTTGTGATGAGCGTGAGGCAGCCAAAGGCATGGAACCAGGGAATGACCGTCAGCAGCGTAATCTCGGAGAGCGGCATCATGGTGGGCTGGCTGCAAAGAAACGAGTAACGAATGGATAATAAAAACAAATAAACATATATTTTCATTTAACTAACATTTGCGAATCGATCGTAGCCAACAGATTGAACTGTGTCAACTGGACACCCTTGGGCAGGCCCGTGGTGCCCGAGGAGCATACAATTAGGGCAACATCCTCAGTTTTGTTGGCCACCGGCGATGTAAAGTCGGGTTTTGTTTTGAACTTGTCGTTGTTCATCAAATCCAAGAAGGAATGCACATTTGGATGATTGCTGGAGGAGCCGCTGAGCGCAATAATGGCCTTGACAAACTTGTTCTTTTTGGCCACCTTGGCAACACGGTCAACGGTGATCTTCGAGGCGAATATGACCTTTGGACGCGACAGATTTATGGCATGATCCACCTCACGTTCGGAGTAGGTGACATTTAAGGGCGCCACGGTTGCGCCCACTGCGAATCCGGCAAACATGGCTACGGCAAAGCCAACGCTGTTCTCGCTGGACAGCCCGATGACATCGTTCTGCTTGACGCCCAGTTTCTGGAGTATTTGGGCCAATCGCACTATCGATTCGTACATAAACTTGGCACTATATTCCGTGCCAGTCACAGCGTCAATCATCACAGTTTGGTCGCCAAAGCTCTTGTATTTGTCAATAATAAACTGTCCCAAGGAGCGATAATCCTGCGCCACCCGCACGGGTATGGGCCCGCCGTAAACAATATTACCAGGCAGCAGAGTTGATGTCATGATGAACTGCAAAAATAAAAAAAATTAATGATTGCCAAGAACAAGGGTGGATTTACTCTTACAGCAAACCCCTAAATAAGCTTAAATTTTTAATTAATGTTCTTTCTTTTTCTTCAACACACTTTGAACCTGCTTAATCTTATCGAATGTTTATTAAAAAAGTTTAGTTTAAGTTAAATGATTTTCCTGCTGCTATCTATGAAAGGCAAATGTGTTTGCACACTTGAGATTGAGGGCCGCTCCAAAGGTCAGTGTTTGCCCCCCGGAGACAGAGTGGGGTGACATCCAAACCTATGGCCGTCTAACCTTCTCAAGCACGAGCTGCTTAGCATGGTTTGCAATTTAAATTAACAAGCAGTTGTTTTTCTTTCTTTAATTAATCAGCTTACTTCACAAAATGTTGGGCTTAAGACTTGCAGAGAGAATTGGCACGCTCCGTTATATTGCGGCTTCCACAACTAACTGTTCTTGACACAGAAGGCGCGGATCGAATAGCCCAGCTTTTATGCTCAGATTAGATTAATGCCACTGATAAGATTAAGGCGCAGCGCGCAGGCGCTTTAATAACATTCGCTGTGAATTAGTGTAAAATATTATATACATATATGCAGTGAAGACCCACCTACTTTACAAATATTTTAGCAAGAGCGAGCTGAGAGTCGCTTATTGTAACATTTCGCTCATGTTTACATTCGCATCAGCTGTTCGAATTTAATGCGCGTTGGCAACGCTGCAACCCTGCTGCTTAACCGAATTTATCGATTCATCGATTGATTTTGTTGTTGTTGTTGAGTGGAGAAAAACTAAGCAACGACGAAAGTTTTGAACGCTTTCTTTTTCAGTTACCATTAACTGACATTTTTTCAAATAGTTTAAAACTCTCTTGAATATGAGCAAATAATCAATAGCTTGGTGATAACTTAAAGTTGGCATGCACTATTTATCTCAACCGGCAGCCGTAGCGCATTTCCAATTCGGCGCTCGGTTCAAAAATACGCCCATGAGTGTATCACCCCGCCCATGAAATCGTAACAATATGCATTCAGTGTTTGGCTGTGGCTGCTAATGTTATGTTATTTTTGCGTCGACTGGAAACAAGATAAGCCTAATCATTTTCGAGTTTGTACTGGGGAGAGTACCATTGCACAATAATAATAATTGTTGAAATGAGCGCGTGCAAAATGCAAAAGTTTTACAAATTGGACATCAATCGCACGGAATGGGAAGTCCCAGAAATCTATCAGGAATTGCAGCCGGTGGGCTCTGGTGCATACGGGCAGGTGTGCAAGGCGAGGATCCGTGGCACCAACATGGATGTCGCCATCAAGAAACTGTCGCGTCCCTTCCAATCAACGGTGCACGCGAAGCGCGCGTACCGGGAGCTGATGCTATTGAAGCATATGGATCACGAGAATGTTATCGGCTTGTTGGACATCTTTCATCCGCATCCGCCGGACGCGACATTGGCAGACTTTCAGCACGTCTACCTGGTGACTCACCTGATGGGCGCGGACTTGAACAACATTATCAAAATGCAGAACCTGTCCGACGATCATGTCCAGTTTCTGGTCTACCAAATACTGCGTGGTCTTAAGTACATACACAGCGCTGGCGTTATCCATCGGGATCTGAAGCCGTGCAACATTGCGGTGAACGAGGACTGCGAGCTGCGTATTCTGGACTTTGGTCTGGCGCGTCCAACTGAGTTCGAGATGACCGGCTATGTGGCCACGCGCTGGTACCGTGCTCCGGAAATCATGCTCAACTGGATGCATTACAGCCAAACCGTCGACATTTGGTCCGTCGGCTGTATTATGGCCGAGCTGATCACGCGGCGCACACTCTTTCCGGGCACAGATCACATACACCAGCTGAATCTGATCATGGAAATGCTGGGCACACCGCCGAATGATTTCATGCAGAAGATCTCCTCCGATAACGCACGGCATTATATAGATTCATTGCCGCCGATGAAACGCAAAGACTTCAAGGTTGTTTTTAAAGATGCCAATCCATTGGCGATTGATTTGCTGGAGAAGATGCTGGAGTTGGACGCGGATAAACGCATCACGGCCGAGGAGGCACTTGCTCATCCATATATGCAGAAGTACGCGGAGCCAAGTGATGAGAGCACCTCGCCCTTGTATGATCAGAGTTTTGAGGACATGAACTTGACATTGGAAAAGTGGAAGGAGCTCGTCTACAAGGAGGTCCTCAATTTTAAGCCGCCTGCGTCCTTTGCCGAAGTCTTGGAAAGCAATAAATGAAGCCGGACAATGCGACAACAACTACAAAGTATTAGTTACAAAAATAATTAAGTTTAACGTCTTTTGAAAGCTAACAAAGAACTTGTTAAAAAATTGCCTTATTTACTTATATGTGATTCATATTATTGTTGTGAAATATTTGTATTGTATTTTTATACTGTTTATGCTGTTGTTACTTGAAAATTTGTTTATATTAATAAATAAATATTATATTTTATTGTACATTTATATATTTTTTTATTCTATTTTTAACTAAAACTTGCTTTTTTATTTTAAACGGAAAAAATTTGCGCTAATGGAAATTGTTTGTTGCTCAAAATGTCCACTAGAGCGCGCCACAGTACATACTTGTTATACTATTATAACAGTTACAGTATGTTTGCTGTTACAAGAAATAGCTGAACGTAGTTCAACACTTCCCCAACAGAAAGTGTATTATAACAGAAGATGTTTTCCTTGAAACTTGCTTTTATGTTAATATAACATACTGTTTTTATATAGTCTTAACAGAGTGTTAGACTTGGAGTGCATTACATGTTATGCCTGCACGGGGAACAGCTGTTTGGCTCAGCTGAGCCAACATTTAACAGCTGAGCGTGAGCTCTGAGCGTGAAAAATAATATTTTTACTCAACAACAAACAAACGCATTCCTATGTTAAAACTTCGTGGTGTGGTCAGCAAATGCTTCTTTCTGAGGCGACACATTTCTGCACTTTACATAACCGGCGACAAGGCAAACGAGAACTATGTGACGCTGCAGCCATTTCTGGATTTCGCCGGCACATTCCGCGACAGAGCAGTGCTCGAGCAGAGCATCGCCAGACGTGGCCTGGCCATTGATCTGGAAGAGATGCTCACCAAGTACGCAACGTATCAAACACACCACGAACAGCTGCTGCGGCTGGAGGAGGAACGCGATGCGATTACCAAGGAACTGAAGCTGCTAACGAAATCCGGCGGCTCGGCGGCGCAGCTGGAGGAATTGCGCGCGCGTGGCAAGGTGTTGCGCAACGAGGTGAAAGCCTTGAAACAAAGTCTGTATCCCATTGAAGATGATTTTATCCATGATTTCTTGCATCTGCCCAATGGCTTGCATTCGCACTGCCCCCAAACGAATGTGGAGAAGCTCATTTACAGGCACAAAACGCCACCGGCCGTTGAACAGCCGCGCTGGCATTTGGATCGCAAGGAACTGGTGCATTTTGTCGACAACAATCGCTACTACATGATGGAGAAGGCGGCTCACTTCGATGTGGATGCCATGCAGGCGCTGGCACGCTACTTCGTCACGCACGGCGACTTTGTGCAGACCTCAAATCCGGACTTTGTGCGCTGTGTGCTGCTGGAGGCAAATGCCACGCCCCTCAGCCAGTACCATCTGGTGCGCGAGGAGCACCTGCTGAACAAACTGAATACCGCATATCTGACGGGCGGCGGCGCATTTGAGAGTTTTCTCGGCACCCTGACCAAGCTGTGCGTGTATCCTTCGGTGCTGCCGTTGCGCTATGTCGCCTGCGGGCGCAGCTACAATCGCGAGGAGGCGCTGGCCTACGGGCCCACGCCCAGTCTGTACACAGCCACACAAACGAACGCGGTGCAAAGCCTGGTGGCCACCCAGACCGAGGCAGACGCGGATGCAGCACTCGAGCACGTGCTAAATCTGGCCATCGACTTTTACAAATCCCTGGATATACCCTTCCGGATTGTGTACGTCACAGCCGAGAGGCTAACGCCGGCGGAGAGTTTGCGTGCCAGCATTGAGGTATATGCGCCATCCCTGAAGCGCTACGTTTGCGTTGGACGCATCAGCAACTACGGGGATTTTGTGTCCAAGCGCATCCTGTTCAGCACGCGCCGCGACAAGCACTACGATTTCCTACATTTGGTGGGCGGCCCGGTGCTGTACACCACCAGGCTCATCGCGGCGCTCATCGAGCTGGGCGTCAAGCTGGAGGCCAGCAAATTGCCCGGCGCCCTGCAATTGGGGCCCAGCGTGCAGGCCATGTCGCAGCACCAGAGGGATTTGCAAGAGTTCAAAGATCTTTTCAAATAAATATATGATTCGACCAGGCGAAACAATACATTGTTATATCCGTATACTTAGGGTTAACAGTAAGTAAAAAAGTTAAGTCCGTACATACAAAATTATTTACAAGCTAAAGTTTAATCTCATGGTCCACTGGCTGACTGCCTACTCGACGCATCCACCACTACGGAGCCGGGTTAGTCGCTGCATTTGATTTGCATTTTGGGAAAACGTTGGCGAAAATTTTCGCACCTGGGCGTTGTGAAGGTGAACGCATTCCTTGTGTCCTCCAGCACGGAGTTCGGACTGGGCCTCAGCGCCTTCAGCACGTACGTTGTGTTATATTTCAGTTTGCTAAACTCCAGCGAATCCTTCTGTAATCAAGCACACATGATGGGGTACATGAGATGGATTCTTTAAACATGACTTTTTAGCAAGACTTTATCTACGTTCTCTACGGGTGGATTTTGCGAAAAGAGTGAAAAAATGTATCTAATGATCTTTGAGCTCACAGCCGATCGAATGGTAAGTAAATTACTTTCAAGCAACCTTTTTTCACGACTTTTCCACAGCTGCGGGTGGAATGCCCCGCCTTAGATCGCGACTATTCCACAGTTGCGGGTGGAATGCTTTGAAAGCCCGCCTAAGATTGCATTGTTAGCTTTCTCCTCTTAAGGCCTGAACTGCGCGCTGATCGCCAATCAGTCAATCAATCAATCAAATTATCCATGAAATTGATTCATTAAACTTTTCAGTCTTAAAACATTTTGTTTGCAAAATTTGTGAAATTCACGACTGCAATTGGCGTTGAGTAGCGTTTGAAACACGTACGTGGCGCCTCGCACGCAAACGTGTTTCACGTGTCGAATGAAACCCAATCCCAATTGACCGAATGACAAATGATTTCTGTAATGATTCGAGGGGCACGAACCGAGCTCGTGGCATGTGGCCGCGTTGTACTCACTTTGACACGGATGGCGCTGAATTCGCGGTGCTCGCATTTCGTTTCTTGGGGGCACAGCTCGAAGACTCTGCAATGCAAAATAATATAATTTCGTCGAATTGTTTATAAACAATCAAATAACATGAATAACATGTGTAAAACACAGGGGGGGGGGGGGGTGTGGGGGCTGGCACTTACTTCTCCTTGTGTGGCTGGAATCCCAAAATTTGCACAATCATGCCAAATTTCCGGTTCAAACGGAAACGTACTTCATAGGAGGAGGCATTACCCAGCTCCGCGGGCGTCGTCGCCCGCCCAACCTCATTAATGGAGCTCACAGCTGGCGTCGAGCTGATCTCCTCCGCGACGGCGGCAGCGTGGCCGTGATGGTACTTGTGCCTGACATGGTGGCTGCTGCAGTCGAGCGGAGCTGCATACGGTTCGTCCAACTGAAGCGTCGTGTTGTATAACAACGCCGTCTGCTCCGATTTCAGGCGCCGCAGCCCAATTATGGACATGGCCTGCACTTGTATATAGTACGAGGAGTTGGGACGCAGTTTCTTGATCTCGAACTGATGCGTCTGCAAATGAGTTTGATATTGATCAATTTGTGCCAGGCTAGGGATTTTTATCTAATTGTTTTATGATTACACGAAATCTTCTATCTTTGGCACGCCTCTTCATTATGCTCTAAGAAGCACAGGGAAGATAGTTAATGCCGAGTTTGGTCAAGATATCTTAAAAAACAAAAGAGTTTTCTATACAAGAACCTACTTTTCGACCGATCGTTCCTATGGCAGCTTTATGAAATAGTGGTCCGATGTTGATAGGATTTGGTATAAATGTAAGAAACGTAATGAAACTTATTAATGGCGAGTTTCGTCAAGAAATCATGATCAACAAAAAAGTTTTCCATACAACAACTTAATTTTCGACCGATCGTTCTTATGGCAGCTATATGATATAGTGGTCCGATGTTGCGAGGATTGTGCAAATATATGAGGCGCATAGTAAAACTAATAAATGCCGAGTATGGTTAAGATATCTTGATAAGCAAATAAGTTTTTCATACAAGAACCTACTTTGCGACCGATCGTTCCTATGGCAACTATACGATATAAAGTTTCGAAGATTGCTTAAAAGCTGAGAGAATAGATCGCATAGAAACAGACAGACGGACATGGCTATATCGACTCGGCTGTTGATTCTTAATCAGTATCAAGAACATATATTCTTTATGAAGTCGGACATGTCTAATTCAGTGCGTTCAGGGTAATGTGGCAACTTTAGTCGGAGTTTAAGCTAAACTAAGGTCCTTGATTTTAATATGTTTATTAGTTGGTTAAACACTTACATCCCTGACATAGGCGTAGAGTGTGAAGATGTGCTGATCCGTGCTGCTCACATAGAGCGACCAGGTGATTTTATATTTTTCCACTGGCAGATTAGACTTGGACGGGCACCAGACCACCTTGACGCTCACGGAGCGCCGTCCGTCGTAGTGTTTGGAGGTGACACGCACATCGTTGGGCGCCTTGGGCGGCTTGGGATCTGAAATGCAGGGCTGGGCTATTGAGCTGGTCAAGATTCGGACGGGGACAAGCTGCACTTACTGCTGGCCAGGGTAAAGGCGTGCGAGGGCTGCGAGTAGCCGCGGAATCCGTAGGCATTCACCGCCGCAACGCGCACCTGATACCAGCGACCGGGTCGTATGTTGAAGAAGATGTCCATGCTATGGTTTCAAAATATGTTTGCATGTTAGATTTGTGGCTTCGATATAACCGTGGCGTAAGTACCTACAATTTGCTGGGTCCGTCGCGCGTCTCCAGTATCTTCTCGACCTGCTGCGACTGCCACATGCCCAGCTTGCGCGGCGTAAAGATGCGCCCGATGTGCGAGCGCACCTCCACATGAAAGTAGCTGGGCAGGAGTGACAGCTCAATGGTCAGCTCCACCTTGTGGCTGCGCGGCAGCTTATAGCGCAGAATCTTTGGTATGGGCGGCAGCTGGCTGGCGTTGCGCACGCCCAGCGGCTCGGCGCAGACGGGGCCGCACGCGGAGGCGCAGCACTTTTGCACCTCGACGCAGTCATGGTCGTAGACACAGTTGTCCAGGCAGGAGAGACGCGCCTGCCGCGCGAGCAGCGTGCTGCTCGGACAGCTGCCGGCTCGGGGCGCACGCAACAGCTCCAATTTGCACTGGTCCAGGCAGCGCTGGACTGTGGCTGGGGTGTTGTTCTCGCACTTGGCCAGGCACTGCAGCTCCGTGATCTTCTCCTTGATGTCGGTGCTGTCGCGCTGGCGTTGATGCATCGATGCGATGCTCGCATTCGAGCCACAGCTGCCCAGCAGGGCCAGCGCCAGCGCCAAGAAGATCATCAACATTTTGAACTCTCGGGTGGCTCGAGCACCTGATGCCAATCTGCAATGAATGTATGCCAGATAATCAGCTCTCCATCTCCATCTCCAGCTCCAGCTCCAGCTCTGGCTTGGGCTTAACGCATTCCGTGCATTCATAATTAACAGCATTTATGCATGTTGATTATGCTGAAGGATCGCTCGAACCGGTTTATTCCATTTCGCCTGACCAACTAACTAATCATTCTGCGCATTTCTGCCCCCCCCCCCCCCCCCCCCCACGCTTCTCGTCCCACAACCGCTCCCAACTCCAAGTGGCAGCAATGAAAATGCAAAAATACATAAATGTATCTCAAGTGCTTGACAGGACTTCAAAGCGCGCATCACGGTGCGTGCCACGAACGCACCGCTCAGATAGACAAACTGCAAAAGTTTCCAATACCGACTGCCATGATACCCTAGCTAAGTCAAACCCCTTTGTAATATGATGTGCTTTGAACAATATTAAATGCTTATTTCTTTTAAAATTGTTCCGTTCAGCTTGTTTATCCTGTTTTCTACTTTTCTCTCAAATTCAAGTTTGTAAAATAAGTTAGAGCTAATTCCTAGTTAATTTGCCTTATAAAATAATACTTGACAAAAAAATTGTTTAACAATAACCTTATCAATACACTTTGGCTACTTTCAAATGGGAACTTTTTACTACAAAAGTTTCTTTTAGGTTCATTGACAAATTTATTTTTCAATACAATAAATTGTTTGCAAGAAAGTAAAGACAGTTTAATTTTTCTATTACCAAAAGTAAAAATTTTTATAAGTAATATATTAAATCCTGAATAAATTAAAGGAAATAATCAAATGCTTAACTATAATAATTCCTATTTTCCAAAGAAAGCTAACATTTTCTAAAAACATGTTCTACTTTATTTCAGTTATAAAAAGTCTTCAACTAGAGCAGATGTACAGTCACGCATATATCACGTATACAAAACGTAGCTCAATTGGAAATGTTACATTTGAATGTAGCTAAATTAGATACACATACGTATGAGCTGTCATTCCTGGTACTGGAGAGCTGTGCATTGCCCCGGCTAAACGGCATTCCTCTGATTGCACGGAATTGGCTGCTAAGCCAACCTTTTAAATTGGCATGCAGCTTGCCAACCACATAGGGTATTTAGCACGCAAATGGGAAACTAATGTTTTATGGCTTGGTCGATGCTGCCCCAACTGTGTGTGTGTGTACATGTGTGTGTGTGTGTGTGTGTGTGCGTGTGAATGTGCAGCAAAGAAAATAAAATAAAGATGAATGTGCGCATGCAAGTCGATGTCACCAGATTCACAAGCACACACACACGCACACACACACACACACACACACATGTAGACACTCGTAGAGCAGCAGCCAGCATATAGCCGGGGCGGAGATCTCATCACAGAAGCCCAGCCAGCCAGGCAGCCGGCAGATGCCGCACATGCCAAGACGATACAGATACAGACACTCTGGGCACTCTGGCGGGGCAAGGAACGGGAACAGCAGCAGCAAACGCAACAGAACAAACGGCGCGACACTTGACGAGGGGGGAGGGGGGGGGGGGGGGAGAGGCGAACGCAGCCGCAACAGAGGGACATTAAGCGACAAATGAATGTGCGACGATCGGCAGCAACAACAATAAGCACAGCGCTGATGACAACAAGATGAAATGCAGCAAGTTCCGCGGAACGCAAAATTTGCAACAAAATTGGGCAGTAAATCGGGCAAAAGCAGCGCTGTCATATGGAATGGCAGTCGCCGTCGCCGTCGCAGTCGCAGCCAGGATGGCTGCCTTGGCTGACTGGCTGACTGGCTGTCTGCCTTGCTGGCTGCCGCTGCGTAGTGGCAATTAATTGCTTTTAACGATTCAAAAATTCAAAATTATCTTTTTATGCTGCGCACACATAGCAGAGCACACACACACACACACAAACACACTTACACGCGCGCGCACGCACACATACACACACACACACACGCCTTAGGCAGCGAAGCTAAAAGATCCGGATCGATTTCGTTGACGTCGCTGCTGCTGCTATGATAAATCGTTGGTGGTAGTTGGCTTTTGTTAAGGTCTGCGTTCTTCGCAGCTTAGCACAATAGCGCTTCGGGCCCGAGGCTGAGCCACTGACTGCGATTGCGACTGCGACTGCGGCTGCGACTGCGGCTGCGACTCTGGAGCTGGCGACAATGGCCGGGCAGCGAAGCATCAACAACAGTGTGTAATATGATGCAAATCGTTTAACACTTTGACCAACAACCAGCAACAACAGTAGCAACAACAGCAGCAACAACAGCAGCAACAACAGCAGCAACAACAACAACAACAACAACAACATCGTCATCGCATTGTTGCTGCTGCTCAAGTGCACTGGCAGCCGCACATAAAAAGTTTTTACGTTAAAGTAAACGCAAGAAGAGCAAAGTAAACTACCAAACGGGGAGGCTGGAATCGCCATTAATCTTGCGAATGGCACGACGATCAGATGCTCTACAATTTTGATACTATACAAATTAGTTGGTTAGGTTGGGTTACATTATTATAATTTTGACTATCATTAAATATTGTTATGTTTTTTTTTAGTTTAAAAATACAAAATAACCAAAATTATATGTAAGTATAGCTCGCATATTGTCTTTAATTTATTTTAAGAAATTCTTTAAATACAACTCCAATTTAAAGAGTATTTATAGCAATTATTTGCAATTTAGAAAAAAACAGATTCAAGACATTTAAAATACGAGTTTAGCAATTAATCCTTCTTTTAAGTAAGCATATTTGCGGTTTCCTCTATATAAATTTTAATTCAATTTAGGGAACAGAAGTATTTGAACTTGGCTGTTGATTCAAGTCTTAAACGTCTTATGTGTGAATTCGACTAAAATCCTACGTCTAAGTTTGCTCTGATCATAAAATTTATGATAAGTGAATGTTTGCATTACACCTTACTTTGCGATTTAAAGATGAAAGAAAGAACTTTTATTTTTGCTGTTATCTCAAGACTATATGCCTAATTTCAAGGCAAATGATTAATTACTTTGTGAGGGACTTAGGGCACATCCACATAAATTTGTATAGCTTGGAGCTAACTCGTGAATCATTTTGAGTCAGAAATTTTCTATTAACAATTACACGAAAATGGGATCAGTTAAAGCTTCTCACATTACGCTAATTTGTCATTGGAAACATGAAGCGATCCAATTCCAACTGAAGTGTTGGGCGACAAGAAGTTGTCTCCAATTCCAATTCTGGGCTAATTTTGCATTCGCTAGCAAAGTTCAGGTTCAGGGAATTGGATGCGGTTACTTCCGATGCGAAGGGTATGGCGCTGACGACTTTGCCACGCCAAGTGTATCTCGTATGGCCGGTGCGGCGTTGCATGTCACCATGGCATCCCCATCTTCGGCTGCCCGCAGCTGCCCCGGCCCACATAGCTACCCCTACCGCACCGTTTGCCGCAATTAGCACGAAGGCAATCTCATTTTACGCCGACCAAATTGCGCAAATGGCAAGCAAACGAGCCGAGCCGAGCAGGGCCGGACCGGGCCGGGCAGAGCATTTTGTTTTTGTTGTACTTACACTTGACGCACAATGAACGAAATGCCGCTGGCAACCACCACCCCAAGGAGTGGACGCAGAATTTAGCACTTGGTCCCAAAACGCCAACAATCTGGCAACACCCTGTGTACAGCACAATTGGCGAGAGGCTTCTTCCTGTGATCGATCGCGCGCGCGTTATTATTTAATTAAGTTTCGATTTTATCTGTTCGCTTTTGCACTTCTCGACTGCGACTGGACTGCAATTGCGGACGCGTACACGGCTGCTGCTTCTGCGTGCTGCGACCGACGTGTTGCACCCACAAAGACTGACTGACACACTGAGCGAACGACCAATTGCATTGCATCTGGATGCTGAACATAGTTGTGCGCTCGGCCCCACTCGCTCGCTCGGCTGCTCGGTAGCTCGTTTGCGCTCGTTTTTTTATGTTCGGCTCTCGCGGCGCTCGTGATAGCGTGTGGCTGGCGCTCATGCTCCCAAATGCGTCGCTGCTTCGTGTGCCGCTAGCAGCGCAGCAGTGCCAAAAACAAAAGATCGCATTATTTATGTTTCGCTCTGCTCCTTCGTTGTTGTCTTCTTCTTCCTCCTGCAGCGCCCATTCATTCAGAGTTTCATTAAAGGATGCATGAGTGTGTGTGCATGTGTGTGGGTGTATGTACTTGTTGTTGCCCTACTAATGTTTCCATTGTTGTTGTTTTTGCATGCACCAATTATTTTATTGTATTTCACATAAGTATCATAAATTCTTCTGTATAATCTGCGACACACATATTCACATTCGCATTTATGCACTGTATATATATTTGTGTGTCTGTTTGTGTGAATGTGTGTACATATGTTCATGTTGTAATTACAACGGGCACCTCAAAGCATATGAGATTTTGATTTTTTTCATCTTTGGCCTCCCAGAGCATGCTGCCCTTCATCTGCAACCAAAACCGTGGTGAGTAAAGGAAGAGATAAATATATGTGTTGAATAATAATTGAACTTACCACAGGCAATGTTGGATTCACATAGATGTTGGCCCAATAGCTTTTACTATCATTCACGTTCAATATGCAGTTGTGGTCGCCATCGCAAGGATCGGGAGATATGGCCGCTTCGGTCTTGACATACGTGAAGACCCAGCGTACCTCGTGCTTCAGAAAGGAGACACCATTGCCTGCAATAAAAACCAGATTAGATCAGGATATACATATATTCTTAACACAATCAGATAACAGTGAACTTAACAGAATTTAAAATTCTGTACGACGAAGTAGCGAGAGAGGGAGAGAGAGAGGTAACATTTTTCCATTTTACTAAGAAACGCAAATATTAATTGACTTGGTACTTTAGATTTCAAATTATAGATCGCAAAATAAATTAAAGTACTTGAGTGTTTATCAGCTTCTGGTTTGAGAGTTCCATTGGGCCTGAGTGCAGTACGCTGGAATTATTTGCTGAATAATCAAAACACAGTAAAGCTCTATGTGGTCTATTTATATATTCAAAATCAATAATATCGCTAACCCAAATTGCATTGGGCACACACACACACACACATACATACTTACTTATCTATTCGCACACATATATGTATATGCATGTATGTATGTATGTAGTACTACGAACATGCCATAAAAGAAGTCGTATAATGCAAAATTGCTGGGTATTATTTTGATTTACACGCCCATTTGATCAATTATTTTTATGACATGCATAACAGCACATTATCGCCGTCTTCGTCGATTCACACGATTACTTCCCACCCACCACTCCCCCCCTCTCGCCGCAACAGCTACCGTTAGGTACTACAGTTACTTCCCCCACATGCGTATCTTCGCCCTCGCTAAGCTATTTCTGTTTCCGAGTACTGAGCGATTTGGCGAGAGAGCTTATAAAAGAATTTAAATGCATGATCCCCCGTTATCAGCAATTATTTACCGTTATCATCGAAGAGCACCGTAACCTTAACAGTGGAATCGCGAGCCATAGAACAGGGCACCTTCGTACAGCTCTCAATGTTCAGGTAGTTCACATGATATAGGGAACCTGCAAAATCCACAAGATTAGTAATATAATATATACATATAAGCGAATGCATTCCTTAGAGAAATATACAATAATATTCAACTAGTCTATATGTATTTGTTGTTATATAAAACGCGATTTTTGGATGGAACTTATTTACAAGTACGTGCATTCCGTGCATACTAAACGCTTCGTTGACTACATTATAAAATATTGGGGCCAAAACAAATGCGACGCCATTTTGCGATGGAAACGTAAAAAGAAATGAAACAGAAAACTTATCTTGGGCGTCAAGAAGTCAAAAAATAACCCTGAAAGGAGAAGGATTCGGGGAGGATATTCGAGATTCTTTCGAACTAACTATAAAAAAAAACAAAAAATATGAAGAAGAAACTTATTAAAATTAAGGAAATATTTTGCGACTTAGGGCAAATTGCTTTGAGCTATATATCAGATAAAAAGAGAATATATTTGGAATTAAAGTTTTAATAAATACTCATAATAATGTTTCAATATGGTAAAGCAAAGGCTTCTATATATAGAGCTCTTCTCCTTCCTTCTCATATGTTTTGTCGAAGTCGCAAATAAGAGTCTGTTAAATGTATTTACACATTTTCCTTGAAGTATATGTATATCTGCAATTAAGCCAATAGATTTAATGGACTGGCATTGCTTGCCGCTGAATTTTCGAAATGCCCATAAAAATATATTATTCATCCATAAATGTCTATAATAAGTCTGGTCATCATTTATAAGACAAATAAAAAGTGTGAAGTAATGATGATTTATTCGACTTTGTCTAACGTTATAAAATGCTTAGTTTATTATGAATTATGATTAAAATCAATAACAAAAAAAAAAAACCAAAACCTGTTTCATTTTTTTTTCTTCTTTTTATTCTATTTGTGAATGGGAAACTTTTCCAATAAAAATTTGACACTGATTAATGTCATAATTCTTGCATATCAGCAGAGACGATGGACGTCTTAACTATTCGAACATTTTGTGGCTATATTTAAATGCTGTCATTTTGTGTTCGGGAAATTTGAAGATTATAAACAATAAAAAGAAATGAGTAATCATTGTAGAAGGTGTTTTATCAAAATTTCATAAATTTCTTATCGATTCTGGAGACGAGAGAAAGCATATTTTAATAATCATATGATGTAAATATTGTTTGATTCGATAATTGCAGAAAGCTTGTTTTGTAGCATAAGCAAAGCATTTCATAGTTTATATGCACAATTATATTTACATAATATTTAATAAAAATGATATATACATGCTGCGATTTCTATTCAATACTCACTTGAGCCTGCTATTTAAAATAAAGTTGATATCGTTTTTGCCAATGTGTCCAAGAAAATCGAGTATAATTAATATTAGAAGGAAATCTGGTCAGACTTAAGCCATAAACAATATAAAGGTTTGAATATAGAATATGATTATTATACATATTCCATACTATTTTCTTAGATCGAACTGAATCTTGATTGGTTTTTTAAATTAGGCCAAAGTCTGGGATGCGAATTTGTCACTTAAAAATACTAATAATATTAATAATAATAAAAAAAAAATAATAATAATAAAAATCACAATAATAATAATCACAATAATAATAATCACAATAATAATCATAACAATAATAATAATAATATTCTACCACATCTTCCAATAACAATATTCATTCCTGGATTGAGCTCAACAAGGATCGTATGCGCCTGGCGAAGGAACACCTAAGTACTCACCGCAATCCTCAAAAGGTAGCGAGCGCAAGGACAACAGCTTCTTATAGGCATCATTTCTGCTGATTCTCATGGCATTGGCGGCCGTTTCGTGGACAACAAAAATGGCCCAGAGAATTTTCAAGTAGTAAACAAAATAGCCGCGCATGGCCAAATCGATTGTGACAACAGATCGCGGCGATTAGATGGCAAAATTTTTGCAAAAATTTCGGATGTGATTATAACAAAGCTAAACGATAAAGCTGGGCTAATTTTTTTTAATCGAACACGCGACAAATACTGCTCCGATACGTTTCACAGCTGGCTGGTGACTGACGTAAAGGGCCGTGCTACTGGCCAACTTGTGGCAGTTGGTAGCGTTTAACTGGCGGTATCTGCAATTCGGGAATCGTCATTAAATTCAATTGTAAATAAATAATTTGTGTATACTTAGGCAATAAACTTTGATTTATTGGCTGTGAACGAGCTGTCGACTGATTAAATTCGATCGGTTTCGGAGCCGTTCCCATAGTATTTAGTACATGACGAAAGCTACAACTAATGAAATATGAGAAATGATGGCTGATGAATAGATAAAAATATGTCAAGCACTTGAGTTTAATTGAAAATTGAAGCATGACATATGTCAGCATGTACTTTGTTACTCGATCATGTTTACGTTTATATAAATAAATACACAAAAAGTAAATTGATTGGGAAACATCTGGGAATGTGACTCAGCAACGGATTCGCGTCTGCCAATCGTGCTATTCGATGATGCCCTTTAGATAGTTCGTATTCTTAATTACACGAAAATCGGTGCGCAGTTGAATAAATTGCCGCACCACCGACTTGTCCAGATAGTTCTGTGCCAATAAAGACCGAAACGGTTAGTAACAATCGTCTATAAATATCATATAAACACCTACCAGGGTATCGCCTGTGCACACCTCTTGAAGGTTTTGTGGCTTCACCAATAGCAAGTTGCACAGAGCGTGTAGTATATCGAAGAGCTGAGTCACCAACGGACTCTCCAGCTCACGTATACACTTTCGGTACTCGTTCACATCGCAAATGGCGCACATGGCGCCCGCCGTATTGAATTGCATTGTCTGCAAATGGTCGTAGATGATGCGATGGAGTCGGGTTCCAAACTCTGTCAGCACGTTTTGCAGATTTTCGCCGTCCACGCACTTCTTTATCTGCACAATAACTGGCTGCAGACTCTGCACAACTTGAAGGCACGCCTGTGAAAGAATAGCTGGTGGTATTATGTGCGTAGGATCATGGAGATCATATTCTTACGGCCGATGAGATAGTATCTACATCTGTTTCGGGTTTGTAGTCCGTTTTCTTCTGCTCGTACTGCAGATAGACCTTGACCCAGCCAATTACTGCGCTTATCGAGCGATCCAGACCCTGATCCAGTTTCGTTTCAATTTGTTCCATCAATATGCGCTTCTTGAAGACATAATCCGAGTATTTTGGTGTGTTGCTGCAAATGCAAAAATTATTTACAATTCTCATAAGTTCGATTAACTTTAAGATCTACCTAACGCAGGGTATAACCGACGAATTGCACAACTTATCCAGCAAATGTACAATGATATTGGTCTTTTGCACCACATCGAAGAAATACAGCTGGGGAAATACTTTGCCCTCCGCCAATGGCACCGCCTGCAGACCCAACTCCAAGGCATAGTCGACATGCTCGTGCATGAGAAAACGTAACAATATATCATTCAACTTAATGGCATTGCCGGGCAGCTCCGCCTCACTGGAGAGCAATCTGCAGCGCTTGAGGGATGCCTTTGCCTCTTGCAGCATGTTAATGGCCAGCTCCTCCGATAGAAACGTCTCCCCGCCATAATCCTCAATGGCAGCTATGTTAATGTTGGCCCGCGTAGCAATGAGCACCTCCATGTTGCGCCGAAAACCTTTTGTGGTTTGTGTCTTCTGATGCTTCTTGCTCGCATAAAACTTCTCCAGCTCCGACGAGCACTTGGCCGTCAGACATTTGAGCTCTATTTCCGCATAGCCCGCAAGGTTCTTCATGAAGATTTGTTGAGTGAGCTTGTGGAGCAGATCATCATCGATGGTGGACATGTAGACTTGTAGATCGCTGGACAGTTTTAAGGTGCTGAAAATATGACGATATTGAATATGGAATACATTCTATAAATAAACTTCGTCTTACCGTGAGTAGAGTTCATAGAGTGTGCGTAGATATTTCTCCTCGTCCTTTTTATCGTCCAACTTGGTCATGGCATACTGATGCAGTTTCAATTGATAGATATTTAGAATAAACTTGGACATGACCTGCTGCGGATTGGCGAAGACCTTCTTGATTATCTCGTAGTGATGCTTGCACATGGGCACTATGCCTATGAATATATCCTTGCCGCTATACGGCTGCATTTGGCTCTGCTCGATGTAGGCATCCACACACTGCGTGTAGCCCTTGAATTGGGATAGGATCTGGGCCAGCGACTTCATGCGCTCAATATCCTCGCTCTTTTGTGCCGCGGCGAACTCTTCGATGAGTCGACGCTCGACTTCGTCGTATTTCTTTTCAATTTTCCGCTTGGACTCGGCAAAGTTGCCCGGCGGCAGATCCTGTGAAATTGCGTACAGCTTCTGTATAACATCCGCTGCTTCGTTCAAGCGCAGCGGATCGGTGAATACATCATTGACTATGACGGGCCCGGCCATTAGGAATTCGGACATGTAGCTGAGCAATTTTTGTGCCTCCACCGAACGACTACGCGGCGTATTCACATTCTCCAGCTGCTCACCCAGATGCATTATCTTGCCAGCCACAGAGTTGATCTTCTCGTCCAGCTGTCCAAACCAATCGATGGCCGTTTGGTGTCGTTCTTGCAGCTTCGAGATTTTCTTGGCATGCGAATCCTGTTCCTGGTGCAGGGATTCCTCTAGGCGTTCGCACTTGCTTTGCTGCTTCTCCTGCAGAATTTTCAAATCCTTAATCGTCTGTATGAATGTGTCGTGCAATGCCACAGGATTGAAATCCTCGCTGTTCTGCAGCTCATTGTTGGTGCGCCAGGTCAGACGTTCAATAAATTCGCCCACTTCGAAGGGCTCCTAATTTTGGTGGGATCGAATTATATGCTGTTTGTCGTGTGCGTTGCCTTTGGTAATTACATACCTGTTCAAATTCCTCCATATATTGCGACAACATAATTTTTTGAGGCGTTTTTCGCTGATTGTTGAGTTGTTCTTCCTCTTGCTACGTTTAGTACAGAAAACAGCTGTTGGCGCTGACAACTTTTCGCACAGCTGGCAATGCCGAACATCTGTTGCGCGCAAGCGAAATTTGAATTTGGTGCCTTTGGCTCTCCCAACTTTTTGTAGAGTTGTCAGCAGCGGGCAATGTTTAACTTATTTATGTTGGACAGCTTTTCGCACAGCTGGCAATGCCGAATGCGCGCAAGCCAAATTTGAATTTTGTGCCTTTGGTTTTCCATGCTTTTTAGAGTTGCCAGCAGCAAGCTATGTTTAATCTATTTATGTTGGTACTGCCGCAAAATGTTGTGCTCAAATTCCATTCAAATTCCGCGCCAATGTTATATAACATTGAAATTCATTAAACAAATTAAATTAGTCAAAAACAAAAACTAGTTTTTAACATGTTTATTGTTAAATCAATATGCACTTGAAGTATTTTTATTTAAATGTTTCATCATATCAAAACCTATTTTCGTTTTATTTCTTTTTTTTTTTTTTTTTTTTGTACAATTTTATACGACAAAACACATTGCAATGTGCCAACAAGTTAAAATTTCAAACGTTTATAATCGTTATATATATAGTTATTGCGCGGACTCTGCGTTCTATTAAACTTTAGTTGCAGTTTTTTAAACTGAATGCGAAAAACCCTGAACAATTCGTTTCATATTCCGACATTAATTATTTTTGGTAGTGGAGACAAAAAAAGAAGAAGAGATATTTGCAGCTATTTTTGATGCATATTTAATTTATAGTTGATGCTTGTCCTTTCCAACGACCATATCTTTCTGTTTATATAATTGACAGCCTTGTGTACTTTCTGTTCTGTTCGCATCAAGTTCCTACTACTGCTGACTCTGCGCTGGCTGCTGCTCCTGCTGCTGTTGCAAATGTAAATGTGGATGTGGATGTGGCTGTGGGTGGGTATGTTGTGTGTGATTAGATGTCGTTGGCAGGTCCAATTCTTGCGGCAATGCTGCCGTCGCTGTCGTCTGCATAATGTTTATAGCGCTAGCAGTGCCTGCCGACGTGGCCAAGTCAATTGCCGGCATGCGCGCATTGTCTTCGTACAAGCTCGTGCCCGTGCCTGTGCCGCTGGCCATGCTGTTTAGAACATCCGGCATCGAAGGCGGCTCGAGCAACTGTTGAAGATTTTTTAGCTCCGTAGAGCGCAGGCTAGCTGAAAGACTTTCACTCGATGCCAGCGACGTGGAGAGCGGCGAGTTGCGCTCCATGGACGAAGCGATGTCTGCAAAAACAAACTTGGTCAATAAACGAGAAATGGAAATTGTTGATGTCAAATGCTCACCTGTACGGTCGGTGTCCGGCGAGCAAGTGGTGTGCCCCACTGCGCTCTGCGGCTGCTGCATCGACAGCATGAGCTTCTCCTCCATTTGTATAATGATCTTCTTTTGAATGTCGTATTTTTTGTTCACCGACTGGAAGGAGCACATATTGTGTATTCGCTTAACTCTGGCTTCAACATTTATTCATAGCTTACCTTAAACATTTCCTCGTATTCATCCTTGACGGTGCGCAGCAAACGCTTCTGCTCGGTGATGACCTTCTCACTGTTGACCAGCTGCGCCTGTTGTTCGCTGATTTTGTGCCTGGTGCTTTCGAGCAGAGATGTCTTCTCATCCAAGTTATGCTTTAGCTCTATGGGCGAAATTACTATCAGCTAGGTACACATTCTATGTTTTTTTTTTTTTTTAACCTACCCTTTAGCTCTGCATTGTAGCTCTCTTGAAGCAGCTGCAGCTCCTCATCGCGCGCACGAAAGTTATCAATTTCGGCCAGTCGATCCCGACAACGCACCTGCACCTCGCCCATGATAATAAACTCTGCCTCCAAGCGCGCCAGCTCCTGCTTGCATTGCAGTCCCATGTCTGCTTGCTGTTGGGCACGCTGCAGTTCCGTGCTCATGGTGAAGATTTGACCGCGTAGAAACTCCACTTCGTAGTTGATCTCCTTGCGCTGCTGCATCTCGGAGCTGAGACGCGTTTGCAGATCATCGTTTGCCTGCCGCAGACATTTATTCTGCTCCAGTTCGTGCTGATATTTGGACTTAAGGTCGGCCAGCTCCAGGTTGTAGTTGTTTTGTCGCTCATTCGACTGCCGTATAGCCGAGTCCATTTTTAGGGCCAGATCGCGGTTCTTCACAACAAAATTTTTCAGCTGTTCATGCAAACGATCCCGCTCCATTTCCAGACTACGCTTGTCACGGCTGCGCCCCATCAGGCGGCGATTGCGCTCCGCGTGAATGCTGCGTCGATAGCGCTCGTACAGAAGCTGCAAGCAAGTCAAATGGTATTGCTCCTGCAGGGACGAAACGGTGAGATTGGATGTTGCATCGGCGCTGTCCTTGGCGTGTACGGAGCGCATTATGTACTGATCGAGTATGTCCTGCGGGTACAATTGACTTCTCTCGTACTTATTGCGCTGCTCCTTACACTCGAGCAACAGCTCAACGAGCCAATTCTCGTACCGTGATGGCACCATCTCAATTGTCTGCACCTCCTGCGACTTGGATGCAATTCCGGTCGCAATTTTCGCTGTTACCATGGTTAGCATGCGGCCGCTACGCTGCAGTCGGCTGCCGGCCAGCCCAGTCTTTTGTGTTTGCACGCAATTCCCATTGCCATTATTCTGCGGCAGAGTCGGGCAATCGGTTTCGTCATCATCTTCATGCTGCAGGCCGGCCAGAGCCGAGCACGACTTGGTGCGTCGCATTTGTCTGTCCTCCGGAGCGCTGTTTAAGGCTGCCCGCTTGGAGGCTGTGCTGCCAGGCCAGCCGCTGGTATTGCTGCTCTCGTTGCAGCTAACCATGCGATTTCGTCGCCTGAATCCCTTGACCAGCTGATGCATGGACCGGCTGGTGGGCATGTGCAGTCCGCCATCGCTGCATAGGCTGCGATCCGTTTCGTTGCAGTCGCCGCAAACGGTGCCCCTTAGCTCCTTGGTCTCCCAGGTGTGCAGCGTTGCCTGCACCGCATTCGGACCCGTCGGGCACAGAGTAGCCGTGAGCATTGTATCTTTGAGCTCTGGAAGCTCACCTTGCTGCATTTTATTGATGTCAGGAAAGTGAAACTGGCTTTGCTGATCCTTGCGCATGGGCGACGATGGTTGGCTGCTACCAAAGATGGCACGGACCGCATGTGAGTTGGGCAGCTGCTGCTGCTGCTGCTGTTGATGTTGTTTAAAGTCGCGCAAATCTTTCAAAGGTGTTGTCTCCGGCGTAGCCTCGACAGCTGCCTCCGGCGGCGAGGAGCCCGTCGCAACAAGCAGCTGCGCGCTGCTGCTGGACGGCAAAATAAACGGTGGCGTCGGCGTCAGGGGTATAGCAGTGCTGCCGGTAGCAGCGGCTATTTCGTTATGTGGACTCCAGATCGGTGTGTTGCCGCTCTCCGCCAGCGCCGACTCAAAGCGTCGAACAGGTGCGCTAGTTAGCTGCTGTGTACTTAACTGATTGCTAATATTGTTGTGCTGATCGCTGTACGAGTTGGTCGAAGTCATGCGACTAAAGCTGGGCGTGCTGCAGGGATAGGCGGAGTTGATGTCCTCGTTTGTGGAATCGGGATGCAGCACGGGCAGCGACAAGTGTGCACACTCCATGACCACATCGTGTGGCTCCATTTCCTTCCAACGAGCGTTGCTCACCTCCGTTTCAATGGTGGCCGTCAAGAGCATCGGATGCACGCGGACCGTGTCCAGTAATGGTTTAATCGTATGCTGAAAGATGCCGCCCTTGTCCTTCTTGATGAATTCCGACAGATAGCCGAGGAAATTGCACGGATACATGCCATACAGACGATGAAAGAGCATTTGCAAGCCCAATTGCAAGTGGACCAGCTTCTCATCCGGCAACCTATTCACGTTTTGCGATTTCCATGAGGCCAAATGTCCAAACACGTCAAACAGATCGTTCAACAGGTTCGGCACAGAGTTCGGTATTATGGGCAACAGCGTAATTATGCACAGAAGCGCGCTCATCAACGGCACAATATCTTTCTCGTGCTACACGGAAATATAGGAAATATAGGAAAAGATTAGATGAAGATTCGGGCTGAAGATTCGGGCTAATCACTCACCATTAGCAGCTTGAATACGCTCTTTATGAGGCGATGCTTCTCGATTTTGTGCAACCAGGTGGGATGGCGTCGCACAATGAAACAGAAGACATTAAGCGCCTGCACGCGAAACTGTTGCTGCTTGAGCCAGTCGTCCAGGCGATCAAAGATGTAGCCATCGTGTGGAGGCTGTGCCTTTACCAGCACTTCCATGATGCGCATTGAGCCCGTATTGATGTAGTAGTCCAGCATGTAACGCACTGGCCATTGTTCCTTATCTATGGGTTGGAAGTTGGGAAATTAAAATAGGATCTGAATTGAAAAATTGGCGATAACTCACTTTGGGTGAAAAGTTCAACAAGTTTTTTCTTTGCCTCTTCATTCTCGTGCGTTTGATTTGACTCCAAACCGTTAATGATCCTCTCGAAGTCCATTTTGAGTGCTTTAGTTAATTAGAGTAGAAACAGTGGACAGCATGTGCTGTTGCTTGATTGATTTTTCAGCATGAGCTCTCCTTACTGCACTGCCACCTGCCGCCGCCGCCTGTTTCTCTCTCTCCCCTTCAGCTGTGGCTGCACGTTGGCAAGCGTTGTGGTTGTGGCCACCACTCCAAGAACTTTGTAGCCGTCGTCGTCGTCGTTGCTGTCGTCGTCGAAGTTTTCGTGGTCTCTTGGTCGTGTTTTTTCTGTTTTCTGCGCTGCGTGTGCTTTTTGCTCTCTTCTTCGTCGTTGTTGTTGTCAACTGATTTACAAAATTTGCATCACATTTTGCCACAAGTGTGTTTGCTGTGTGTTGTCCATTGGCCAATGAAATTGTTCTCTACTTACCTCTGCTAGTTTCATCTTCTTCACATGTTTTCTTTAAGAGGTTATTTCGCGTTTTTCTACATTGGTTTTGCAGTAAGGTTCATCTTTTTCATGTTCTTCCAGTGGAGCCCACTTCGCCTTCGTGCTATTTTGATTTATCGTAAGTACATTAAATATCGGAACTAAACGTGTCCTATCGATAATGAACGGCTGATTCGTGACACGATTATTATTATCAGCTGTTCCCAATAGCCTCGTGTTCGCATTGGGGATACTCGCACTACTAAACATGTCCTATCGATTATGAACGTCGCGCTCGTGACACGACAATTATTAACAGCTGTTGTTAGCAGACTCGTGTTTGCATTGGGGATATTCGATCTACTTAACTGCAAATCTTGCTGATTTAAATTAACATCTTATTAGGAATCAGCAGATATTACTGTACTGTTTTACGATTGTGCTTAAGATAATATTCTTAACAACAAAATAGGGAATTATATTTCGAAATTCCCATTCGATGCCAATGGGGAAAATCAGCTGTTTTATGTGCAATCGATTTTTTTACATAAATATTTAACATTAGAGGGAATACGTCTCTTGTTTGGCAGCGCGGCTGATGCTCAGCTGTTGCGCTTATCAAATCTGAACTGGCAGAGGAAAATTTGAAATGGGAAGTTATATTGTCGTGCGTCGACTGGCTACACAGCCCAAATTGGCCCATGCCCCTAAACGGTAGTATATATATAATGTATGCCTCCCTCAACACATTTTAAAACCATTTTTGCTTGATGCAGCAAGTGGAAGAGCGTCGTTGGCTTGGAGGTGCACGCACAGATTACAAGTGCATCCAAATTGTTCTCGGGCAGCGGCACAGCCTTTGGAGCGCCACTGAACACATCGGTTACCTATTTTGATGCATCGATACCGGGCACGCTGCCAGTGAGTTTTTCCCGGGTCTCTTAAACAATTTACTAGCTTGGGATTTCTCTCTTCAAGGTGCTCAATCGCAAATGCGTGGAGTCTGGCATAAAAACCGCTTTGGCGCTTGGCTGCCGGGTGAACGAGGTTTCCATGTTTGATCGGAAGCATTACTTTTATGCCGATTTGCCAGTGAGCATTGACAATTCGTCACATCGATCGCAATATACAATAGTTATACATTTTTTTATAGAACGGCTACCAAATTACACAACAACGCGCTGCCCTGGCGAACGACGGTCTGATGACATTCCCGGTCATAACGCCTGGGAAGAAGGTCTACTATAAATCTGTCAACCTGCTGCAATTGCAACTGGAGCAGGACAGCGGTAAATCATTGCACGACGAGCAGCTCAAACGAAGCTTAGTTGACCTTAATCGTGCTGGTGTGCCATTAATGGAGCTGGTATTTGCGCCAGATTTGGAGACTGGCGAGGAGGCTGCCTCGTTGGTGAAGGAACTGGTGCTTATACTAAGACGACTGCAAACCTGTAGCTGTAAAATGGAAGGTGGGTGCCTGATAAAGTGTCCAAAAGGCTTCTACGAGTGTATATTTATTTGCAGAGGGTGCCCTGCGTGTGGATGCCAATATATCTATACACGAGGAAGGCGCTCCCTTGGGTGTACGCACAGAGGTCAAAAATATTGGCTCCGTGCGCAGCATATCGCAGGCAATTTCATATGAAATCAATCGACAGCTGGAACTTGTTGCCGAGGGCGGCGTGGTAACAAACGAAACGCGTTCCTGGGATGCTGAGCATAGACGCACCGTAGCAATGCGTGATAAAGAGGTGTTGCAGGATTATCGATTCATGCCCGAGCCCAATTTGCCGCCGCTGCATGTTAATCTTAAACCGGGCTCGGTGTCAACCCAAGAATTAATATCGGTTGCGGCTCTTAGTAAGGAAATACCCGAATTGCCTGAACACACGCGTCAACGCCTTGTGGAACATTACAAACTGAATGCAGAGACAGCCATCATTTTGGTGGTACGCTTCTCCCACTGTGTAAAATTTAACAAAACACACCGTTTTTTATTTTCAGAATGAGCCTGTCCTGTTGGAGCATTTTCTGAGCATCACCGAAAGTCTGGCGGATGTCCCAACCAAAGTAGTTACAAATTTTCTCATTAACGACTTGTTAACTTACTGCAACAAGCTTAACCTGGACATCGAAGATTAGTATGCACACATGATATCTGCTTGTACCAAATGTTGATTTAAATTCATATTATTTTTAGTACGACAAGCGACAATGCTTTGAAGGATGTCTTGAAGGCGCTGCATGCAGAACAAATCAATTTACAAGCAGCCCGTCAACTTATTCAACTCTTACACACGAATCCAACTAGCTCAGTTAGCGAAGTATGATGCTCTGCATGTTGCACAATTGGCAGCTAAAACTTGTTGTTATTCTTTTATTTTGCAGCTCATTGGTCAACATAATCTGCAACAGATTTCTGAGCTCAGCACCATTGAGGCCTATTGTCAGCAGGCAATCGCGAACCAGTCCAAGGCTGTCCAGCAATACCAAAAGGGCAAATCCAAGGCCCTATTTGCCATTGCTGGCGAGGTGGCCAAGCTGTCGGCGCAGAAGGCGAACATGAAAATCGTTGTTGAGTGTTTGGAAAGGCTGCTAAAAAAATAAAGGACTGCTAAAGTGTTACTGGACGTATTTATTTTTGTATATATAATAAATGATGCTGTAAGGTTCTTGAACACATGCTGTATTCAGTTTGGGTATGTAAAAAGTTAAATGTGCATGTCAATGTTATATAAATTATTATGTGATCGATTTGTAGCTCATATATGTTAAATATGTAGTTCTGTGCTCTCCTGCCTGTCGAGGAGAAGCGGAACTTGTGACCCTTTAATGTAGAATATTGTAAATTATGCTCGTGTTTCATATACGATATATGTCCAATTCAGGTAAAACCAATTAAATGCGAAAAAATGGAACGCACTATATTCGATTGTCTATCAAGGCAGACAATGAACAGCTAGAATCGTATTTGAAGCTCTTCAAGTTTGATGAATTTTGAACTAAATAACGCGATTTTAAATAGTTTTAGTTATCTTAAGCGTTTGCCTCCTAAAATAAATGCACGTATTTATCCTTACGCTGGCAGTTAACGTTACGTCTTGGCGGGATCAAGTGACCAGATGACATCCATTAATCGCGATCGTAATCACGACACGTCGACGGCGGCAGGCTCATGGAGACAGCCGAGTCCAAGCTGGAATAGAGAACGATTATCAAGTTATCTTATACTAGACGGAATGGATAAAGATATATGTAAAGTGCAATGTGCAGCAAATGCTGCAATGTCTAAGTAATGTGTATATGTATGTTTGTCGAACGTGCCCGACTAAAAGATACCCTGGACACAGCTCGATATCTTGCACAATTTCATATATTGAATGAGTATTAGGCGCCTTAGGCTCCACTCCACTGAAACATATTCCTGTTTTTTTTTCCAAAAAAAAATACTCTTAAGCGAAAAATTGACCAGATGCTAATTAAGATTATATTTACTTATTTTGCCTTTGCCTGCTCCTAAAAGCTTACCATAATTATGACAGTATAATTGGGAACATATAGGAAGTCTTTAAATATTATTAATAATTTTTAAGGCATATGACACAAAACAGTCGTCGCAGTAGGCATAGCTAAGAAGTTTATAGATGAGTAAAAACTGAGTATAATTTTAGGGATAAATTTCCTATTGATCAAATTATATATGAAATATATACGATAAATAAAAGAAACATGTTCAAGGACTGGAATCTCTAGGGGGTTTTTTTTTTTTTATTTTTTACATACCGTCTGCTTTCGCTTTCCAGCAAATGGGCATCGACTGGATGCTGGGAGACATTTCGCAGGGAGTCGCCCAATGTGCTGCGCAGATGCTGCATCTCGCGATTGGCCTTGGAGCTGCGCAGTATATATTGCTGTCGCCGCTTGGCCTCCTGAGCCAGCTGCTCGCGCAGCATGGAGATCTGTGGAGGAGCTCAGCTGCAGTTCTGTGATCCTTTTGGCAATGGGCTTGGACTCACCTGGTTCTCGAGGCGCAGCACCTGCTGCTTGTGGGATTGCTCGCGAGCATCGAGCAACTTTTCGGCATGCATTTGGGCGCTGCGATAGCGATCCGCGTCCAATCCCTCCGAGCACTTGGCGCTGTCATGCATGCGCGCCTTGCAGCGCGCCAGCTCCGATTCCTTCTCCGCCAGCAGCGTCTCCAGGCGGCGCACCTTTAGGCGCAAGTCGCGCGTCTCCTGCTCAATCACACTGTGGTCCAGGCCGCAGCTATAGGCTACCCCGGTGCCGAGATCATAGCGATTGGAGTCATATTCGCCGGCATCCCCGCCACCGCCGCCATAATAGGAGCTCGCTTTCTCGGCACGATCGTAGGCGCTGCCGCCGGCGAATTTGCTCTTACGGTCGGACTCCAGCTGCTTGACCTTGTCCTGTAGCGTTTGCAGCTTGCTGCGCAGCTCGGATTTCTCGCGCTGCGATGATTTCAGCTGGCGACTCAGTTCCTCCTCCTCCTGGCCAGCGCCGCCGCCGCCATTGCCGCTGGTTAATCCCTTGTCGCCACTCTCCTGATTCCACTTGGCTATGCGCAGCTGCGACTCCAGAGCCGAGCGCTGCACCTCGAGATCGGTGACCTGCTCCTGCAGCCGCTGGTTGCCATCGAGCTGCGCCTGCTGGCTGCGTCGCAGCTCGTTGAGATTGGTCTGGGCGCTGTCTAGGCGCTCGGTCAGGATGCGCTTCTCGTTCTCCGCCGTTTGCAATGACTTCTGGAGCAGCTTCAGCTTGTCCTCGTTGGCCTGGGAGCAGTGGCCCTGCTCGGAGAGCTCCTTCTGCAGCGTCTTGATCTCGCCCCGCAGCTGCGTCTCGGTCACCGCGCTCTTTTGCAGTCGCTCCTTGAGTTGATCAACGGTGGATTTGAGTGAGGTGCAGCGATCCTCCAGCTGGATCATGGCGCGATTCTGGTTCTCCAGTCGCTCCGACACCTGCCTGATGTTGCAGTCCTTCTCCTGGAGCGCCATCTGCAGGCGCGCCAGGTCACCCTCCATGGCGACGCGCTGCAGATCCAGCTTGCTGGCGCGACCCTCCACCTTGGCCAGCTCTTCCTGCAGCGTGCGCTTCTCGTTGTCCAGCTTGCCGCACATTTGCCG